GAACGGGGGGGGGGGGGCGTTATTAAAGGCATGACGTTTAAATTATGCTGAATGCAATATACTGACCTTGCACACACAGATCCCACAGATATGTCCGAGAATTATGTCAGACCGTGGGGCAAGAGCTGGGCTGGAGTTTAAATCAGCCTTTCTTTAATTCCAGTAATAATGTCAGATAAATAATGTACGCCAAGGAAAATTGGCTGGCTGGTGAATGCTAGCTGAAACGTCTGACCTTTTCCAAAATCATATCCAGTTGCTTGAGTAACTGCTTTTTGGCGTATCTTATTACCTGGATGTCTAACTTTCATCGATGTTCAGTAATAATGGTTGACATAAAGGATGAAGCTAAGTGCAAATCTCAAATTTTATTTTGTTACATCCAAAAATTTGTAAAATATAAAGACAAGTATATATTCCAATTCAATCTGTATAATTAGGAAAATACCTTAGTCGGTACTTTTTAATAGCTAATTTTATGCAGCAAATCTGTACAATTTTTAACATTAGATTCTTGAATAAACACATTCATTATACAAAATTGGTTTCCAGTACATTGTGCGTTAAATTGAACGTTAACAGACACTGAATAAAGTGCCGAGTAAAATTGGCAAGTACCAGTTATCAGGCAAGTAACATGTTAACCCTCGAAGTGTTACAAGTCATGAGAGTTACAGTTAACCCTACACATGAGAAGGGTTAGATCAGTTAACATCAGTGTCCATAATATCACCAGGGTCCATGATATCGCCACCTTGAGAAACAGTGTGCTTAAAGATATTTTTACTGCAACATACTTTTGGTATGCACTCCTTCACACATCAAATGTACATACCTAGGGTATGTTGCAGTAGAAATATCTTTAAGCACACTGTTTCTCAAGGTGGTGATATTATGGACACGGATGTTATACATCTTAAACTTTTAATATGCAAAATTTTGGATCGGTTTGAACATTTTAAAAACACATTTGATTGTCAAACTGTGGCTTATTGATAAAATATCATATTCCAATAACAAAATTCAGAATAGTCCAGAAATTCTCCAAACATGTTGCATTGATGCGCATTGCAGGTAACTTACAGACATAAACAGGTGGCAAATCAAAAGATCAAATTTTCTGCATCAGAGGGTATTCAGTTTTCAAAACATTGGTGAGTTATATTATTGTCTTTCTCCCATATATGACAGCCACGGGCACTTGATATGCTCCATTTTGAGAAAACAATGTCCGCTGACTTGAATTTTTCCTAAATTTGTATCTGAATAGAAATGTTATCATAACATCAAAAATTTACACATTTAAACATTAAATATTGTCACCAAAATCTGAAAAAAAAACTACCACATAAAACCTGAGGAATCAAATTCCATCATAAGACAGGAAACATTACAGCGTCACATCCTCTAATGTTTAACTTAAATCACTGAATCCCAGTAAACTTGCATAACTATAAAACGTAAAAGCACTAAGCAACTGGCAAGCTAAAAGCATTAGACTGTTGAGGAGCACTACTAAAATATAGTGCGACAACAACAACACTACAAGCGGTATGTTTAACCTGTTGAATTTCCAACATTGCAACAGTTTTGAGAAAAAAGGCAAAATTGCGATCATCACATTTAGCATCCAGACTTCACAGACACTGGCAAGATTCCAAGATTCCTGAGAAGTTTTTGTTAAATACCATTCATCAATTTGAAAGCAAACAGGTAACAAAACAATAAAAGTCATTCGTTTTCACAACTCTCTATTGCACATCTTTGTGACATGTTCAAGATTTCTAATAAAAGTTAGTTTAGAAGATATGTAACGTTAGATCACCTGTACCATAAATCCATACATCCAACCCCTGTTCAGGGTACAATTTGTACATTGCAGCATTTTTTCTCCTTAAAAACTCTAGGGTTTCTTGACTTGAATTTATTGGGATCTTGGGATCCACACTTAGCTTACAAAATTGTATTGCAGCTATTCTTCCCGTGGTCCTTCCTGTGAACCCAAACCATTTATACATAGAACTCAGGAATTTTTAAAGTAAGAGCCTAGAAAGGCCAGGATGAGAACAGGGCTGGGAGGAAAACCTGCATGACTTATAATTATTCACTCCATGAAAATGCAGACTTTCCCCTCAGTCTCTGTTCTCATGCTCATCTTCCAGGTCAGAATTTGAATCGTCTTTTCAAGTAAAAAAAAGTCAACATCACATTAGTTTGGTTTGGCGAGACAGAATCCAGAATTCGTAAACTATGATCACACTTTGGACAAAACCAGAGCAGCACCTGGGATTGCTCCAGAATCATGCTTTATCCAGAGCCTTGCTCAGGCACGGTTCTGGATAGTCTATTGCGTATCCAGAACAGTGTCTGGGGAAAATCTATGGTCTTGGATACATGGAGACTATCCAAAACCGTGTCTGATCTTAATCCTAACTCATTCAGGCATAGAACTAGACAGGCACGGTTCTGGGTACACTAGAGACTATCCAGACCCGTGCCTGATCCTAACCCTAACCCATTCAGGCATAGAACTAGATAGGCACAGTTCTGGGTACTGAATAGAGACTATCTAGAACCATGTCTGATCATAACCCTAACTCATTCAGGCATAGAACTAGACAGACAAGGTTCTGGATAGTCCTCATGTATCCAGAACCGTGCCTGGGGCAAATCTATCTTCTTGGACAAGCGGAGACTATCCAGAACCCTGCCTGATCAGGCATAGAACTAGACATGTCTAGTTGCAGACACAGTTCTGGATAGAAAATTAGACAGACCCTTTTCTGGATATGATAGAGTTAGACAGACACACTTCTGGTCAGCACAGTCGCCATGTCGGTTGACTCCTGCAGCAGAGGTTGAGCCTCCCGACCCTTGACCTTTCTGCGCCTGCGTAGGATGAAAACTGCGGCGCCGACGGCAGCGAACACGAGAAGAACGCAGCCGACTACGATCATCGCCGTGGGCCCGGCCGCGGGCTGGCTACGTCCCGCGGGCTTGTCCGTGTCTTGAGACGTCTTCTGGAAGGAGTCGAATGTCTTGACCCCCAAACCCGGACCAGCGCTGCTCAGGGAAGAGTGGCTGTTCTTGGCTGTCGCAAAATACGGGCGATCCTGTGGGTAAAAAACAGAGAAAAACTTTGTGAACAAAATTCCTAAATACATACATGTATATTGGGGAAACAAACCAGCCTATTAAGGAATTAATATAATAGTATATTAAGCAAGTTGAAGTTTGTATGGCAAGTTCTTGGCTGTTGCAAAATAAGAGCAGTAGCTCCTGTGGGTTAAAAAAACGTCAAAGAGATAGAAACTTCATGAACAGCATTTGCAGTTGGGTTTTGCTTAGTGGCTAGGTAGCTACTGGATTGTTGATCTTTATGTTAATCACTTTGTACAGTTGACCTCTGTAGCATTTTGGCTTGTATCAGCTTTTGGAGGAAACACTGAACAGCAGCCAATTTGGAATGTGACATTACTAAGTCTAAAAAAGAAACGTAATCATCTGTTGTCCAAGAACCAATAAATCAAATTACATGCAGTTTAGCCAAACCAGATTTCAACATTGTAAGATTGTGACTTGCTGACCTCCGTTGGGCACTCGAGCGGTTCTCCCACATGCCAGTCTGTCCGCTTGGATCCTACAGGCTCCAGCTGCCAAAGGGAAACACAACGTCATACAATGTACAATATAACATTATGTAGTTTAGCAGAGGTACAAAAATAGGTTAAGGTAGTCCTATAAGCTTTATTCAGGTTGTAGAAGTTCATTGGGCTGTTATCCATGGTGTTGAGAGTACATGTACAGTAAGGGAAGGCAGAGCCCATCAGTCAGGTACCTATTTTACACCTTTGTGAAGTGAGTAAATTCGGTCTTCTGTCCACTACGGCCATTTGAGTTAACAATGTTTGTTATGTTCATGTATGTAATCCTAACACCAGCAGTACTCAACTTAGAAACTGGAAATGTCATACAAATTGTACTTTAATTTATAATCTAGCGTACCATGTTGTTCCAGAGGGCTGATGCAGCCGCGGCGTGAGCCTTCAGACTGAAGTGGAAACAGTCAGGGGCAAAGTAGGACCTGTCATACTCTCCGGTCTGGGGAACAAACACAACATGGGATTTAGTAATCACAAGTAACACATAATTAACTTAGGACTATGATGCCAAGAAGTTATCACATAACACATAAGGACTAAGATACCAAGAGGTACAATTTGTATGTTGGAGGGAATCTAGTAAGGTCACAAATCAATTTTGTTGGTTTTTGGATGAAAAAGAAATTATCAAAGCTATGTAAATGAAGGAACAGAAAGTTTGTTGTTGGCTCAGTCCTAGGCTATTAATATGTTTTATACAAGAACACCAGATGAAGATAATTGTTTGTTTGTTTGTTTGTTTACCTCCGTCCTGGGCAGCTTTGTCTCCTGCAGGAAGGGCTGGACCACCACGGTGAAGTCATCCCGGTCGTCATAACGACCGCTAGCTACCAGCCGATTGGTCACGGACTGCAGGGAGGGGTGCATTAAAAGACTGCATTAAAGAATAAACTAAAAATCTGTGAGGATACAAAATCAGAAGTTTCAAGTGTCAGTATAAAAAAACTATAAAATGCCTGGCTGAATCTTTGCACTTAACAACAGAGCCACATCAGAAAAAAAGATAGAGAAGACAATTTTTCTTCAACTGCACCCACTGTAAGTTGTAATATACATTTGTACTATGCAGAACAATGAAAGGTTCTCAGAACAGTCCAGGCATATTCAGAACTATACCTAATGTTCTTGGATACACAGAGACTATCCAGAACCGTGCCTGATCCTAACCCTAACCCCAGGCAGGCATACGAACTCAGATAGACACGGTTCTGGATACAATAGCATCAGACGCTAAAACTTACTAGGCTATAATGGCATGTAATGAAATGAAATGTAAACATCCATGTTACTGCAGTGCTCCACCTTACCATGTAGCGCATGTAGCTAGTAGTAGGGAAATGGCATGTAAACATAATGTACATGTTACAGGTCCACCTTACCATGTAGCGCATGTTGGCTGCCTGCAGCTCGGCTAGAGCCTCTTCACTGGCATAACTCACACAGCGGCACAGGAAGCTGTGGAGGGAAGGAAACTGTATTGTTTTTTTAGGCTTATAATCTAGCGATGATACTCCTCCTGTACTTGGTGGTAGCAAGTTCTGCTCTAAGATAGTTCTGTGTGATATAACTTCAGTACCATGGACAGCACAAGCTACTGTATCTGTATAGCCAGTATAACCAGCCTTTGGTGTGACACACCAGCTTCACAGGGACATGGCGCAGCAGCTGGCTATATAATATTACACTGATAAAATGTTACACCTAACCCTTGTGCATCTAACTGCAGGCATTGTTGAAAGCTACATGTATCTAGAGTGAGATTGTCCCTACAGTACTTGGTGGCAGAGAGTTCCACACTGCAAAAAAATTTGTAGTTCTAGAGAACAAAACAAGTGCTTTGAACACCTCAATCTTTGGTCGATAACTCTGGTTCTTTCCTGGGCAGTATGGGATGACTCAATAGTTGGTATGTCCTCCAGTTTACTAGCCAATTTGCAAAATATAGTCTGAAAATTTTTTTGTAGGTATGTTTTCATTCGCCTTTCCTTTGTGTGAGACTTACAAGTGTAGCACGTCGCAGGTGAAGGTTCTCTGCAGCTTGGAGATTTCCACCACGTCCATGACGGTCACCACGTTTACAAACGTCCTCGGCAACTGCACACAAACAAACAAACAAACACATGGTCATGTCGGTCACCACGTTTACAAACGTCCTCGGCAACAGCACACAAACAAACAAACACATGGTCATGAGGGTCACCACGTTTACAAACGTCCGCGGCAACTGCACACAAACAAACAAACACATGGTCATGTCGGTCACCACGTTTACAAACGTCCGTGGCAACTGCACACAAACAAACAAACACATGGTCATGACAGCCAACAACACATTACAAAATAAACACCCAGTGTTCATCAGAATGATGCAATTCTAAATATTAACCTTCAGCAAATCACACACTCTCTCTCTCTCTGTCCTCTTGCACCTTAAGTGCTTAGCAAATAACAGTTGCTTGAGTAACTTCATTATTGTGTACTTTAGAGTGTATAAACTCACCTCCTGGTGCAGAATGTCCAGCGCTGCTCTTATGTTTTCTACATACTTTATAGGACTCCATTTTTCCTGTAAACACATTTTGCATTCATTACGTTCTGTGGACCTACTGGAAACTGTAGATATATAGCTGGTAAGTTGGAAATCTTTAATATTCATTGACAAAGATGAATAACTAGTGGAATTACAGTACTGAGCACTCCAGTTACTACTACAGTAACTGTAACAGTTATTACTAGAGTTACTACAGTTTCTGCTGTCCAACTTTTCCACCTACCGTGTCCTCACAGTAGGCGCAGAGGTCATTCCCACCGATCAGCAAGGTCACAACCTTCCAGTCATGCTCAAAGTCAATGTGCTGGGGGAGGGGGGATCAAATTACAACATGAAATACATTTTAAGATGCTGTAAGTTTCTTATCTGGATTAGCACTATTTCTGAAGTAGCAGTGACACTGACTTGTTCACTTAACCTACATGTACATGTACATTGAGTAATAAATGAAGTCGTCATAATTATCTTAAACCTAACTGTGTCTAACTTCTCACCTTCTCACCCAATTGCCTGTAGACCATACTGGTCTGTCAGTTGAGAGTCCCAATCAGACTTCTCCAAGCTGTGCGGTTTCCGCACAGCTTTTCGGCTTCTTCAAAGGAAATGTTTGTTCTTTTGGCCAGGATTTTCTTCAGACCATCAGTCCATCTCATCCTGGGTCTGCCAAGGGGTCTTTTGTGTCTAACTAACTGTGTCTAACTTTGAAATTCATAATATGCAATTAAAAAAATATAAACCATACCTCGCAAGCCTTCATGATGTCCACCAGCTTGCGAGCCTGTTCCACCATATCCCTGCAGACAACAAGATCAAATTATACAGTACTGCAGCTGTAGTAACAACTACAGACTTCAAAGTGTAGCACGTAATTCTTTTGAACACATCATCATTCACACACACGCACACGCACACACACACACACACAACATGCACGCACAAGCACGGATGCACACACACACACACACACACACATGCAAACACACAAATAAGTCCTTACCCTGACACGGCGCCGGCTACAGCCTTGTCCAGCTTTGCGTGGTCACTGTCAGGCCCCCCGCTGCCGGTAGCAAACCCGACGATGTGGGGGTTAAACTTCTTCAGGATGTCTGAAAGGCAGAGAAGGCATCTTCAACTGAGGGCCGGACCTTTGTACCTAATGCTATGTCAAGGTACACAGTCTAAGTCTCAACTGAGTGAAGCATGATGCTTCTTCAAGTACTCAGTGTAGCTAATATAGTGCAATGTGGCTTTGCTATGGCTTAATATGTGTGTTGAGTTCTTTTACGTGCAGTCTACAGGATACGGCTACATTTGTGTAATGAGGTAACATTAACAACTCATTGTACAACTTCAAAAAACAACAACCTGTGGCCAGGCTATAAATGATCAACACAATCCATCAGATTTGTGATAAGAGCAGACCTCAGCCTTTACACAACACCTGATGACATCATGCACTTTGGATCTCACCGGGGGTCATTGACCTTCTGTACACTGTCCAGCTTAACAGGTGGTCAGCTGTTTAGAGTTGAAAATTTTGCTCCAACACAAAGAAGTTCTTTGACCTAGAGATTTCGAAAGCTTTTCTTTTCTCTCTTTGTGAGCAACCTTTTCTCGAAGCTCTAGGTGAGGGAACTTCTTTGTGTTGGATAAAAAGTTTTAACTCTAGACACGTAACTACCAACACAGATGAACTTTCCTGATAGCAGGTAGTAGCTGATATTCTGCTAAGAGCAAAAGAGATGAGAAGACATGAAATCTGACACTCACTGGGCAGAGTGGTGTATGTTTCCAGGCTCTCCTGACCACCAATACTGAGGGGGAAAACAAGTACAGTGAGTTAGGGTGGAGTGCCTTGCATTCCGTGGGTCTTTAGTCATACCAAAGACTTTAAACTGCTTTCTCTGCTTAACACTCAGCATTTGGGAAATAGCATTTTAGTTAAACACACACCACTACCAGTGGACTAGCCCCCTGCTGTAGTGGCCTGTGTGTATGGGAGTTGGGAGTTAAACACACACCACTACCAGTGGACTAGCCCCCTGCTGTAGTGGTTACACAACTGTGTGGCCCAGGGGCTACTGATAGGAGATGGGCACCGCCATATGCACCCTACTACTCTAAGATGATGTCATGGACCTTACCTCCATGACACTCCTCGGTAGTTAGTCAGAAGGCCGATGATAGTTCTCGCCTTCGCTCCACTCGCAGCCTGAACAAGCAAAACAACAACTTAGTTTTTTTTTTTTTTTTCAAATCCTGACATGTCTTATTTTGAGAGAACAGATGTGATCACCTTTACTGGTTTTCACCCAGCATGACAAACGGTAAACATTGATTGAACACTGTTGAACAGTTAATCTAACACTGTACAACAGACTGTAGTTTACAGTCTGTAGTTGACATTTAATATCATGTTTAATAATCTTACAACAACAACCTTGTTTTGCATCAATACAACAATTACTGAGGTTCTATGCAACAATCTTGTGTCTGTCTTTGGCTTTTATAAGAATCAGTCAAGATTAGTGTTGGTTTGTGCTGACAAAATGAATCAGGAAGTTCTGAGAACAGAATTTTCCGCGTACCGTGAGAGAATCGCCGATGGCTGCAACAACTTTCACATCTTCTGGCCGCAGGCGGTGGACTGGGGGAGAAAAGATCATAACGTTTATTTATTTGTTTGTTTGTTTTGCATAACCACAGTAAAACTGCCTTTAGAGGTTGCACGCCATCCAATTTTGTACAGTAAGAACAAGCTGTGTAGGTCTGGACTGTAAGGTTTGAGCCTCTACTCTTTTCTACAAATGTGTGATGATCTTAAACATGCTCAAGGCTAAGGTGTGACTGTCTTCAAACACGGGACCTCCGACTTTTCATCCCATCCAAGAGGACGTCCCTAATTAACCGAAACTCAAGGTTTTCATTTTCACCTGAGTCAAGCAAGAAAATAGGTGTGTTAAATAAGTGCCTTTCTCAAAAGCACAACACGGAGGCCTGCCACTGGCCATGGGATTCGAACCCAGAACCTTCAGATTCTGAGTCAACAACGTGTTGGTATGGCCAATCGGGGTCATACCGGGGAATTTCACCCGCCAGCATCACGTGACCTGAGACACGCAACTTCCGGTAGCAGAGCGTCTTGACCACACACGGCGCGGCTACCGCCTCGAAGGGACACGACTCAGCGAACTCTTCCAAAAACGCGAACTGATCACTGAAGACACTTTCTAACTTGGACGTAAGACTTGCCCAACGCTCCGGACCTTTCCTCACGATGTTCGGAGCCGGAAAAAGAAAGACCAGACCCCCGGCACGCTATCGGGACGACGAATGGGAAGTACCGTATCAACCACAGGATGTCTCCACTCCTCGCGATCGCCTACGTCTCGCAGTACAGAAGGAATGGCGAGATGTTACTAGGGAGGTCGAGAGGCTACAGGCAGACATCGCCGACATGAACCTGGAGGGTGAAGACGCCGACAACGCATCGGCAACCCCCCTCCCCCTTCCACGTCGAGGCGTCGTCGAGCGAGACTCACGCACGATATCGCGAGAGCTGGACCGCCATCTTGGCCTGGCACAGAAACGACAACAGACAGCCACTAGAGATCCGAACCGGCCTTCCCTGAATGAAATCCGGGCACTAAACCGCCTGGCGGGCATCGATCCGGTCCTCGACTACATGGGGGAGGATTTCGCACAACAGACGGCGCCAACGCTTCGTCACAGCGCACAACTACCAACGCAGGAGCAGTTCGAACAGGCACCCGTCACCGAGGACGACCCTGGAAAAGGTAAGCGCAAACTGCTCAGCGGACTCAGCAGAAAAGTACATGACAAAGTCGTCAAAGAAGTGTACTGGCCTCACGAGTTCGTTTTCAATAGCCTTACACCGGTCACAGCAGATAACATCACATGGGATCAATTGATTTCTGGGGAGCTGGCCATCATCTTCAGCCCAAAGATAAGCGTCATTGAGCGCCACAATAGATCTCTGATATTGCGCAATCTCATGTTAGATGTCCAGGTCTACACCTTTCCCGGCATCCGGTCATTTTACCGGACGATGCTCCTCCACGCAGAGAGGGCTTTGTTTGACCTCGAATCGACACAGGTACTAACACATCTGGCTAGGCTGAAGGAGGAGTATTTACGACGCCCGGCAGTATCAACAGCCACTACGGCCAACAAGAGTACTACCTCGTCCACCAAGGGACAGTCACAGGCAAGTTCACTCCAGTTCAACCCCTGCTTCAAGTTCAATGCCGGCACTTGCTCAGAAGAAAACGATCACCAGGGTGCCAACGGCATTACCTTACACCACAAATGTAAGTATTGCACGAAGTACCGACCAGACGTGTCACTGACTCATCCAGCTACATCGTGCAAGTATGCCAACAAGCAAGAACGCGATGCCTATCAGACAGCCAAAGCATCGAGAGCATGACTACAGCTCCCTTCAACGGCGGATCCGATATCCTTGCAACCAGAGACACTTTACAACGACCTCTCCCAAGATTGTCACACGCCAGAAAAAATCTCTCATCTTCCTTGTTTGCACATTCCCACAGGAGATGGCACGGCTCACGCACAGACAACAACCCAAGCATACGCATTGCCTCACATTAACCCAGCCGTGACCGTCCAGTACACAAACGGTTTAGAACTATCAACTGATGCAGCTGCCCACAGTCAGGCCTCCACAACGGCGATATCATCACAGCGGACCCCGACTTCCCCGATGGATCGACAAAACTGTGAGAGGCCCAGTCTGACAGCCAACACAGCAGCCTCTGTCCTGACAACTCAATTCACGCACCCTGACAAGATTACCTACGCCAAACAAGGTAGCAGTGTCTCACACGCAGGTGAAGATACAGTTCTCACACGCACAGACTCCCCCACACTCCTCCAACGCTTCTCCTTCAAAACAGGGTTAGCAGGACAGGGACGGGCTACGGCGATAGCGAATCCTTCAAAGCGGACAACGATTTCCCCGAGGGATCGCCCCGAGAGCCCCGGAACTTCCCAACACCCTCAGGCTGAAGCATCTCAGGGACTAAGTTCGACTTCGGTTTTCCGCAACGTCAGCTCAACCCTCCAACGAGTGCAGCCGCCCTTGGCACCAACTCTCACGTACACAGCCTTGCACGACACTGTGTATAAGTCAGGTCAGTACAACTTCCGCGGCTTGCGACTGGCCGTGCCGTCCAGACTCAACATTCCAGCTTGGAGAGAGGCTCTAGCCACATACCACGATTCAGCTCTCTGCGATTTCCTCGAATTCGGCTGGCCGCTAGGTTACACATCTACTTCCCCGCTGAGACCATCGAAGCGAAATCACAACTCAGCCTTGGTCTACGACTCCGCCGTGGACGATTACATCCGGACAGAAGTGCGTCTTGGTGCCACACACGGTCCCTTCGACCGACCTCCCTTTGAGCATTCCTCCGTCATGACGTCACCACTGCAAACAGTTTCGAAGCGAGGTTCCAACCGCCGAAGGGTCGTTCTGGACTTAAGTTTCCCTCCCGGAGCCTCGGTCAATGACGGCATACCCGCGAAACAATACCTTGGAGAGGACTTCATCCTTACACTACCAAGCTACGATGCGTTCGAGACTCTCATTCGGGACAAGGGCCCCGGCTGCTACATGTTTAAACGAGATCTCCGCCGCGCTTATCGACAGATTCCAGTGGATCCACACGATTACTACCTCCTTGGTTACAGGTGGCGAGACAAGCTCTACTACGACAGCTCCTTTCCCTTCGGCTTGCGCACCGCTGCCATGGCCTGTCAAAGAACAACCAATGCCGTCACCTACATCCACGCGCAGCAAGGCCATCATTGCACCAACTATAATCGACGATTTTGGCGGTGTCGCCACACCCGATGCAGCCCAACTCGCCTACAGCGCCCTTGGGGAACACCTTTCAGAGACTAGGCTTGGAAGAATCCGCTGACAAGGCCACTCCACCATCCACCTGTATGACCTTCCTGGGAGTCGAATACAACTCAGCAACCATGACAAAGCGGGTTCCGCAGGACCGTCTCGCAGAAGCACTCAACGAGCTCGCGGCTTGGGAGACAAAGAAACGGGCAACGAGGACAGAGGTTCAATCTCTACTCGGAAAACTGT